TATAAGGGAGTTTCACCTAATCGTTATAAACTTATATTCACAAGTACTGAAGGTTGCTAGTCACAATCACGTTAAGTAAACTCTTGGCATAAGTTTCATGCAAATCATAGTAACGAGTGTCTCGTCAATGCTTATGTTTTTCATAGAACTTAATGATTCTTGATTGTATCTCTATTATGCAATTCATTCAATGTAGGGAACTTTGTAGGGAATGGGTTTTGGTTGTCGTATGCAATCATCCAACCTAATAACTTGTGGAAAAAACTGAGGGTTAATTAGTGCAATTCACGGTTAATTTGGGGCGTTGAGTATTCATAGCTTATCGAAAAGCAACTGGAAATCGTTTTGTATGCAAGTGTGACATATGTGGAGAAGAACCTCCTAGCTAATCTTCCATCCATAAGTTTCATTCAAATTCACTTACAATCTGTTTTGTTTTACAAAGTTTGTTTTGTTTTCAAATTCATTAAAACCAAAATCCCCCTTTTACTTTATTGTTTCAAAGTGTTTAATTTCTACTTTGGTTGTGTATTAGAGTGTTTTGATTCACCCAAATTTGTCTAAGAATTTGTTTACTTTGTTCTTGTCTTAATTTAATTATTTTCGTCGAAAATCAACCCCATCTTATTTCTTTGAGTCATATTAATTAGAACTTGTCTTAGATTATGTTTTTAAGTGTTTTAGTTCATTAGAAAACCAAAATTTGTCCAAGTTTGTGTGAGAGTCCCAAAATTGCCCAGATTGTGTTTTTAAGGTAGTTTTGAGTGTTTAGGGGCTGTTTTGAGTCTTTTGGTTTGTTTTAGTGTTTTAAAGTATAGTTTTGCATTCTTTGAGTCTAGTTAGTGTTTTAAACTTTGTTTTCACGTTTTCAAGTCAGTTTCCAAGTGATTTAGCAATCCTTCCTAATCCCCGGCCTAGAACGATCCCTACTTACATACTTTACTACAATTGATAAAAAGAGGGTTTAATTTGTGTGCTTAGTTATTTTACGCATCAAAAGCCTCGATAGTTCTGGCCTAAATTGAGAAGTTCCGTTCTCGGTCCTCCGACATCCAATTCCCACCAACGAAGCACCCCTAGCCTCGTGAGGACCTCCTTAAGCTCGTTATGGGCTTGAAATTCCCTGAAACACACAATTTTACTTGTGTATGAACAGTGCACACTTTCGGGGGTTACGGTTCCACGACGATATCGAAGGTTCTAAGCTCCATAAAGTGTACCATTCAACTCAGGGGGTTTCAAGGCTGAAGAATCTTACCTTTTTGGCGTCAATCCGCGACGTTTTGAAGGGTTTTGGTCTTGGTCGTACGTTTGAGAGAGAGAGTGAGAAACTGCGACGGAGAGAGAGAGAGCAGACACGGGAAGAGAAAGGGAAAGGGTTCTGCACGTTGTGTGTGTGTGGTCCAATAATCCCACTAAGTCATTCTTCATCCCTAACCACACAATTGATGCGAAATATATAAGCACACAAATTAAACCCTCTTTTTATCAATTGTAGTAAAGTATGTAAGTAGGGATCGTTCTAGGCCGGGGATTAGGAGGGATTGCTAAATCACTTGAAAACTGACTTGAAAACGTAAAAACAAAACATATTGTAAATGAATTTGAATGAAACTTATGGATGGAAAGCTAGCTAGGAGGTTCTTCTCCACACATGTCACACTTGCATACAAAACGATTTCCAGTTGCTTTTCGATAAACTATGAATACTCAACGCCCCAAATTAACCATGAATTGCACTAATTAACCCTCAGTTTTTCCACAAGTTATTAGGTTGGATGATCGCATACGACAACCCAAAACATTCCCTACAAGTTCCCTACATGAATTGCATAATAGAGATACAAGCAAGAATCATTAAGTTCTATGAAAAACATAAGCATTGACGAGGCACTCGTTACTATGATTTGCACGAAACTTATGCCAAGAATTTACTTAACGTGATTGTGACTAGCAACCTTCACTACTTGTGAATATAAGTTCATAACGATTAGGTGAAACTCCCTTATATTCTAGCGTCAAATTCATGCATGAAAATTAAGCGTGCACTCAACTCAACCAACATACACAAATCAGTTTTTATACGAACGGATAAGTAAATTGAATTCACAACTTATGAATCACAACTGGATGTAATCAAATCATATAGCAAGCATGAACATAGTTTCGAATCGCCCCCTAACTAAGAGGGGTTTAGTTCCTCATACTTACAAAGCAAAGATGCATAAATTTAGACATTAAAAACAAAGATAGAAAACACCTAGAAACGCTCCAACACTCCCAAGGCTTGGGCATAGGCACGGCACAAGATGTTCCTTCTCTTTCCTTCCTTGCAAGCAGTGGCACTAAAGGTTTTGGACGGTTTTGGGTGGTTTTTATGGTGTAGAATGGATGGGGAATGGTATGGAAAGGTTTAGGGTAAGTGTGGAGGAGTGTTTGAGGGTTGGAGGGTGGTGGGAGAACTAGGCAAAGAGGGTGAAGAAGGTGGAGTGGCTGTTATGTTTTCTAGGCACTAGAATGGTGTTTTTGGGGTGTTTTGCTACCTAGAGGTTGTATGGACGAATTTTCTGTGATGAATGATGAATATGAGAGTGTGAACCCTTTGCCAAGGGGTGTAAACATGTATATATAGGCCCCAAAACCTTAGAGAATCAGGTTAGGCTAGGGAGAAATGCACGGCAAAGAGTGTATGTGGTGTGCAATGGTCCAAGGGTGAAAATGAAGTGATGATGCAAAGTGTGAAGGGTAAAATGGAGTGGTCTTGTAGCTAGGGAGCATGAATGATTGTGTACATTGCATAGAGATGGAAAGGGAGGTGAAAATGTGTCAATAAATGGGTCAAAGTTGCAGCAACATGTGGTACACAAGGCATGGGATTCCAAATGTGAATGATGGAGCATCAATTGGTGCATGTTATGGTTGTGAAAGTTGTATAAAATTTTGTGGGTGAAGGGAACAAGAGGTATCAAGCAATTAAGTGTAATAATTAAATGAATTGAAGCATGAAATCAGAAATTATGTAGAGGACAAGAGTGATCAAGCATGGCATGGGAATCCAAAGGGAATTCTATGTTGTTTTGCATGGCAATGAAGGCAAGTTGGGGTGACAAATTTTTGGGCTGAGTTCTTCATCTTTTGGACCATAATTCTTCACACTCTTGGCCTCTTTAGTTCTCAAATTCGTCCATCCACTTTGGCCCATGCATTTGCTATCCATTCCAAGCCCCATTTTGCTCCAAAATACTCCAAAATACTCCAAAATGCATCTTCTTGTCAAGATTTCACTGCTCAATATCAAGCTTTTATGCCTTGACAAGGCTGATTTCAAAGGATGGGGTAATTGTTAGTAAGTTAGATGGGATTCCTCTATTGGTTTGTCAATATTAGTTACTTGTAATTTCTTTACTGGGGTTAATAGCTTGTTGATATTTGTAACCTTGGTTAGTTATTAGTTGGGATCTGTAAACCATGGTTAGTTGTTGTTGTAAGTCGATTATTTAGCTGAGAAATAGGCTATATAGCTATCAATTGCAATGGAGGTCTGTGTGAAGAATTTGTATCATGTTCTTGTTCAATGAAAGTTGTAGTTTTCCCTCGCAATTAGAATCATGATTGATTGAAGTTCTTATCATGGACATAGAGACAATGTGCCACCGAGAATAATCTAATATTTTTAGTTTTAGTATCATTATATGAACATTTTAATATAATAAAATATTTTTTATATAGTGATATCTTTTGAAATAAATAAATTAATGTGAATTAACTATATTTATTTATATATTATAAATTCAAAAGAAAATATACAATTTACCCGAAGAATATATTCGTCGAGCATGTCATTTGGAATCTTATTTGGCCCGACAAAATTATTTCGTTTAAAAAAGTTTTTTTTTTTTTTTTTGGTATGAAAACTCTAATCCAACTCATACAAATAAAAGGGTTTAATATGTTTTGGGGATAATTGGGAGTATGACGCTCTGGCGATTGGGGTGTTGTATTCACGGGGTCCTCGTGGTCGGGCTTTCAGGGAATGACAGGGGAGGTCTGCTTAGCCCGTTAGAGTTAGGTTAATTTAGGTCTCCACATCATAAATAAAAATTATAATCATTCAATATTACGATGTAGTGGTATTTTTCTTCACTTGGAACTGAGAGGTGCTAAGTTTGAATTTTGTGGATGGCGAATTCAATACCAAATTAGGCTGCCCATTATGTAGTTTTGCCGAACTCTCTCTCCCTTTAATATAAAAAATATTCATGTACTAAAAAAAAAAAAAAAAATTGACATTGCTCTTTCGAAAAAAAAAGTCACGTTGCAGTTTCCACTATCTATGGTTAAATTTGGTTGAAAACTATGATTGAAGATTTGGTCACTTGACATTTTATTATGGATTGAAGATTTGACCCTTTTTTTTTTATCATTTGACCTTAATTCCAGTCTCTCATCCAATTTATATTGATTGACGCATGATAGCTTCTCATAAAAAAAGAAAAAAATAAGTACACACAACATTTTCACAGACAAAACTGATTAGAATTAAGAAATCAATGCCTCATCACAATAATAGTAAAGGTAGACATGCGATTCGACCTAGCTTCTATATGGAAAAAATGAATCATAATCGGTATTTTGGTTAACGAAGGAAAAACCAAAAAATTACGAAAAACAAAAGAAGAAAGGATTTGAAATCTTGATTGATTAATTGATTGATTGATTGATTGACATCCCAAAACCAGAATATATTGTGATCTCTGTCTATTTTGGTACCACACCAACGTTACTTATGATTATTGATATCGCATCGCATGCATGAACCCTATATATATGTGTGTGTATATGTACTTATTATCCTTTCACTCTGGTTCATCTCCTCAACATTCACCGCCAAAGGTTTATAACCATTAGTACAAAGTAGTGCAGCCTAGCTTGTTCTTCATCCTCATTTCTGACTAATTTGTTTCATATATTTCTCCTTCAGTTAGCAATTAGCATTAAAAATGCATCGAAAAGTTGCCATCTTTTTGTTTGCGATCATTGTGATTGCTAATTCACCTACTTCATGTATTGCTAGTAGATCACTAGTACTAGATGGTGATGATGCAACACCAAATTCAAATACTTTCTATACCTCTGAGTATGCCCCCACCGATGATGATGATGACTCACAAGTATGTCTATCTACACTTCGTATTATTCATTCAGTCTCTTTGTTTCATATATACATACATACATACATATACATATATATATATATATATATATATCCATTGATTTCTCTTTCCACCAATTAAGATTAATGTTTTAATTTACTCATGTGTCTTTATATTTTTGTTCAACTCAAGTTAAAGGAGGCCTTCTTCCCAGAAGCATGGGGATCTCGACCAATGAAGACATTCGATGTTGGGAATAATAACGCCGAGACACAAGATGATTCGCATCAAGTATGCTACCACTTCTTCTTCATATATTTTCTTCATTTTTCAATTTCTGTGAATGATTTTTCCCTTTTGCCTTAATAAATTTTTATTGATTTTGTGCAATTGGTGCAATTAATTAAGCAGGCCTTCCTAGAAGCAATGGGAGCGCAAGAAAATACTTTCAATGTGATTGATTATGGTGCTGTTGGGAATGGCCAAGCTGATGATTCAATTGTATGTATATTTTAGTTTTGAATTGTAGTTGGATTTACAAAGGGTTTGTTTATTTGTTGTGTCCTGGTTTAACTTGTGGTTCAAACAAAAAGGCCTTCCTCAAAGCATGGGGAGCTCTGTGTGTATCAACAACTCGAGGCATCGCTACCCTGGTTGTACCGAAAAGTAAAACATTCTTGTTAAATTCCGTGGCTTTCCAGGGTCCTTGCAGGTCAAGTAACATAAATTTCCAGGTAACCATATAAACCCTATTCAATGAAATCTTTATTTTTAACATACGATACTATTTTTTGTATTATATTGTTTGTTTATGCCGACTATTTCTTTCTTAATTTTGCTGGGGTAAAATTTGCAGATACAAGGAAGTATTATTGCTCCAAATAACATTGGTGCATGGAAAAACAAGGACAAATGGATTCAGTTTGCGAATGTGCCCGGTCTTATGATAAACGGCGGAGGTCGAATAGATGGCAACGGTGCCGGTTGGTGGAAATTATGCGGGAACAAGAAATCACACTGCCAGCGACCAACTAGTCTCCACATCCACAAATGTGATGGTTTCCTGCTGAGTCGCCTCACATTCTTGAACAGCCCCAAGAATCATATAAGCATCAACAGCTGCAATGGTGGCCGGGTTTTCGGACTCTTAATTAGTGCTCCGAAAGAAAGCCCTAACACTGATGGAATTGATATTTCTTCATCCACCAAACTTACCATTCACAATTCTCTTATTGCAACTGGTAATTAATAACTACATATATATATATGATAATATTTATGTCGACCTTTTTCATGTAATTAGATTCTTAAGGAAGTAAACTGGGAGCTGATTCTTCGTTTTGCTATTTTTGTATTTATCGTGTATATTTATAGGCGATGACTGTATTGCCATCAATAGTGGTTCATCTTTTATCAAGATTAATGGTGTTAAATGTGGACCAGGCCATGGTATTAGGTAATAATTATTATTTTCCCAGCATAATTTGTTGTTCATTTATATTTCCTCATTAAATCAGGGATTAAATTTTTAATTTTAATTCATTAATTGTATGTACACTTGTAGTATTGGAAGTCTTGGTCAAAATGGAGAACATAGTGCAGTGGAAGAGATTCAAGTAAGCAATTGCAGTTTCAGAGGCACCCAAAATGGAATGAGAATCAAGACATGGGAAGTAAGAAATTCCTTAATTTGACACTTAATTTATTAGTCATGTGATTAATTAGTTCAGTTATATTAATAATATTATTTTTTATTGCGTGCATTGTAGGGCGGCTCAGGATATGCGAGGAAGATCACCTTTGAGGGAATTACATTTACAGACATTGAGAACCCAATCATAATAGACCAGCACTATTTTGCTAATCCTACTTCAGTAATGGACATAAACAAGGTGACTTAACTGATAATGTTTGTCATGACTCATATGTGTTCTACTTGTTAGTTCGTTTTAAATTATGGTTATGTATGACGGAATTAATTTTATGGTGCATGCAGTGCGTACAAGTGAGCGATGTGACATTCCGTAACATTGCTGGATCTTCCGGTGTTTCGCAAGCAATTACATTGGACTGTGGACAGAATTGCTGCACCAACATTATAATGGATAACGTCAATATAAGATCGGGTGTTCCAAACAAGGATGTTTATGCATACTGCAACAATGCCCAGGGCACCTCTTCCTTCTCCACGCCTTACGTCCCCTGCCTTTCCCATTAGTTCACATCCAACATATGTCTAAGTAGGTTTACTAAAAGAGAGAAAAAAAACCATATGCCTAAGTACCTTTCTAGGTTTAATTAGTTAATAATATTTGATGTAATTCAACGAATTACTAGTAATTAATTAATAAAAATTGTTCAGTTGGTGAAGTTATGCTAGATCCATATATTTTTCATTTTTTCTCACCTAAATTATTATGTTGAACAAAACACCAATCAATATAAATTAATCATAGATGTATCAAAAGCTAATTGCATATAGAGATGCATACTCAAATACATAATCTCGACCGACGAATCAAAGGTAACTTACTCGACTCGCATATTATAAATAAACACAAATTAAACTAAGCAGCAAGATTATTAATTGTGGTTGGCTGTCATAAGCATCTTCCCAGTGAGACCACATGCAATAGCCTCCTGAGGGATTTTGGTGAGGTGTTGGATGCCTTCCGCAAAGACGACTCCCATTCCCATATGCAAATGAGGCTCAATGTGACAATGGAACGCCCATGCTCCGGGATTGTCGGCCACAAACCTAAGAGCCGTCCACCCGTAAGGAAATATCACCGCCGTATTCCGCAGCGGTGGATTCTTCAAGTTCAATTTCTTCTCATCTTTCTTGGGGTCAAACTTGCCTTCACCGTACCCCAATACCCAAAAGTCGTGCCCATGCAAGTGCCATGGGTGTATTTCGCTCACGTTAGCGGTCAGTGCGTTCGCGTTTTGAAGTATGATATCGACTGTTGTGTTCATGGCCAGTATGTAATCCCCGTTCCCGGTGGTGGTGTTAGGGTTGACGGGCTGCTTCATCACGTCGTAGTCGTTGGAGAAGCTCTCCGGCGGGCTATTCTGCTGAAACGCGTGCCTTAAACCGTACTTAATGGATCCCAAGTAAGGAGTGGGCGGTAACGTTAGGGAGACATTGTTAATGGCCCACTTGGTGTAGCCGTTGATCTTGTTTTGGGTGTTGAGGAGGGTGATCCGACGGTCGTAATTCTTGGGAGGCTTTGGGGAGCCCATCAGGGCCAGAATTTTGTTGCTGAAGGACTTGCTGTGGGCGTAATCATTCCATGCAGGTGTGGTGGGAGGTGACGAAGCGGGGAGCTTTGAAGCGGAGTTTGGGCGGTAGTTTAGGACTGAAAGACCCTGCGGGGTTTTGGGTTCCCTTCCTCTCACTCCTGCTGAAAGCCAGTAGTTGTTGGAAGGGTCTTGGTTGGTTGTTATGAGGACTGAGTAGCTCTCGCCTGAGTAGATGTCCAAGTCATCAACCGCAAATGGCGTCACATAATTTCCGTCAGCTTCCACCACCACCATTTTGTGATTCTACAACACATCAAACATATATAACAAAATCAAGTTACACAATTTTTGCACAATATATAATGTTGATTTAGAATATAGGTATACCAATCTATGCTGTTTATATGTGATACATTGTCAATATTTGTTCAATTTTACTTAGTAGACTGAATCAAGAAAACATTTTAAACAAATAATACTGACAGCATATCAACAATGTACACCACTAAGTACGTAATAGAGTTCTACGGTCTCTAAGTGAAGAATTCATGGTTACTTTCGATTAGATTTGAATATTTCTGCTAAATATTTTACACTGGTTAATGTTTGAGTATAGCAACATGACATGTTCACCAAAACAAGAAAACATGACAGTTTTTGTTTTGGTTGGAAATTATAGTGTCCTTTAGATTCGTTATATGCAGCAAGTAACGGGAAATTATAGAAGAACAAGGACGCATGCATGCTGTACTACATGCTACACACACACACACACATATATATATATATATTGGATGCCAGAAGCTACGTACAAAGAATACATACTACGTATAGGTATAGGTTTAGGGGGTTGAGATCCTCTTTGGATCTCATACTCCAGAGTACAATCTAAAAGGAGGCAGATTCTCTGCCGTTCCATTTCCCGTGTCCTCCTGTTTTGTGTGGTCACAGTTAAGCTACGTTAATATTTTATATTATTTTTTATAGAGATAATAAGACAAAAATGAATAATAATATAAAATGTTGACGTGGTTTAATCGTGACCACACAAACGGGAAGGCACATAAAGTGGAAGGGTTGAGAATCTACCTCCAATCTAAAAAATCTAAACCGTTCAAGTTAAATCTTGCGGTCCCATTATTCTATTCCATAAGTCCATCTCACACAAACAAAAAAATCTGGACAAATTCAATTTAAATTGTACGATCTGAATTTCTCTGTCAATGAACCCAGGATTTGAGATCTCGATAGAATCTCATTCCAATATAAATTAGAGCACATGTGCTAATCAGATGTCAAATTTGATCATGATGTGCAACAGGCCACGCCAACAGAAAAAGAATCACGTGTTCTGATTCTGTTATATGGTCCAACTCATTCATTCCGATGAGAGGATAGGAGAGAGCTACTCAGGAAAAGCAAAGCAGCAGCTTTTAACACATGCGCCAAGGCTTTTTCTCTTCCAAAGTTAATTACTGTTCTCCTTTTTCTACAGACTAGAGTACAAAATTTACAATGCCTAATATGTTTTTTCAATATTAAGCGATAGTTTGCATGTATAATCTTCACTAAAAGAGAAACAAAAAAGTTTTAATCCGAAATACATTGAGTTGAAAAGTATAAATCAACCAAAACAACTTTTCACATGCTTGAACAGTTTTTTTTTAATTAGGAAAAAAACCAATTTCAAAAGCGTGAAGGATAATCCTGTCAGAATGAATGGGTCCTAAAATGGGCAGTATAGGCCCGTTTGGTGGGCTAGATAGGATTGAGAGATAGAGGCAGAGATTTGTAAGACATGACTTGTAACTTATGTATAAGGATAAGTTAGACAATCCACTCTATTGTAGATTCATAACTCATTATATCAAGTCATGTCCATTTTACATTTGACACAACAAACAACGGACTAAACTCAAGTTTATTGTAATTACACAACCTATCACATCCAGTTCACCAAGCGGAGTCTAATTGGCTAAAAGGCCAACAATCATGCATTGGTATTTTTGGCCAATACCTGGCTGCCACTCAGTCGATTATTAGGGATTTTTCTTTGCTGCATAACATGTAATTCCTCCCAAATTGCCTCTCCCATTGGGCACCCACTCAACTCCATTTTTAAAATACTTTTTTCATGAACCATGCATAGTGCATATAGTGTGTAGGGAAGGTTCTGGGAAAGGAAAAGAAAAAGAAAAAGATAGAATCATAATAAGTAATCCTTGTAGAGCCTCTGTCTGTCTAAATTCCCCAATACCTTTTGCACAACTTGTCACTTTTATGACTCATATTGGTGCATGATAGCAGTACCCAATAACGTGACGCCCATTGACACCATGATAACCCATTTTACCAATTCATTCTTTTATTTAAAGGCTTATTATATCACAAATTGTTGAATAAATCTCACGTACTTAATACACCTTACATTTATTTTTTCAATGAAAAATTATCTTAATACACCCCCACATATTTTCCCATAATAGCCTCACACCTCACATTCTCAATATACACTTACATTTTCTATATGCACCCTATATTTTCTATACACCCTCACATTTCTCAAATCTTATAAAGCTTTTAATTTGGACAAAAAGTGCCTACTGGAATTTTGACAAAAGATGCCGCCTAGAATTAAAAGCTCATGTGGATTGTTTTCAATTCCACCATTAAAACTCATGTCGTCTATTTTTAATATTTGGTAGTAATTTTAGGTGTTTAATTTTTCATGTAATCCATGTGATCCCTAAAAGATGAATATGAACATAGAAACTTGAATAACGCAACAAAAGCAAGATTAAATAATTATTGATGTCTCAAAATCACTAACACAATAAAAAAAATATAAAGTCTTACCTCATTTGAAGTTTCCGAAAAATCGATTTCGTGTTTCATTCGTCAAAAATAATTCTTCTCAATCAACATGTTTGTAGTTTCATTGGTTATGATTTTGTTTAACAATGGAGGGTCAAAGGGATTTTGATAGTTGAAATTGTCATTGCATAGTAGGGTAAATGAATCATTTAATATTAAATTTTAATGTGGAGTGCATTCAACATTTTGTGGGGTGCTAATATAAAAAGTCTTTTTTAAATGACGACGTGGTTGATGCAGGACTCACCATTGACATGAGGTACGAGTTACACTTAAACATTTGACACCAAATTGTGCCATTAGCTAGTACTTGTTTTGCGCTGCCAAGCATCCATGGAGGAGATGACGAAGCTATGTGATGACTAGTTTTATCTATGTAGTGCAAGTGTGGCTTATACATCCCATCTTAAAAATGATTATCACACCTACCACCTTATTAATTAAATTTATGAAGAAATCAAATAAGCAGAAAATATAAATTGACATAATTTCAAAACCTAATGATGCAATGTGTTTAACTTCAAGAGTGTAAAACATGGTTAGCCCAGAAAACAAAATGTGGCTAATAGCAAAATCAAAGTATCTTCCAACTTTAGGGCAATAATTAAATAAAGTTGAAATTGACTGTCACAAATAGTAAAATATGTATAAGATACATGTAGTGAGAGAGAAGAAGGTTTTTACCCCAATGGCCAAGTTGAGGGATGCTAGGGCAGTGGTGCTGGCTATCCTGAGCCTGTAGATCTTATTTGGAAGCACATGGAGTATTTCGGGTGCGCAATGTTCGCTTCCTCTTAATTGGCACTGGCTTGAACTAGAATTGCTATAGCGCGCTGCCAGAGAACAGTTGTACTGGCCCCTCCCATTGATCAGCAATGTCTGTCAATCATCGAACAGAACAGCGATCTAAATTAAGAACATTATAAATAAAAAAACAGATGGTTTATATTTTAATTTAAATTTTAAAAAACATATATTATATTTAGATGGATAGATTTGGGATTGAAACTTTAGACAAGGATCCACCACCTAACGCATTGCAAATATTCTAAAATCATATTAGTGACGGTGATAACGTGTAGCTAGCCTTCTTCTTTTGGTCTCGTGTTGAGAATGAATTTCATATTGATAAAAGAAGAAATTTTGCATGAACTTATAAATAAGTTGAATTACTCTTCATATTACTAATTAATTTTATAATAAAACTTCAACTTTATTCATATTGCACACTCTTCCAGTTTCCATCCATCACTTATCAAGAAACTATCATTTTTTTACTGTAAAAATAAATATCAAAATACAGAAAATGCGTTGTGCTGTAGTAAATTTATACACAAACCGCGTGAGGAAAAGTAAGTCACAGGTAAAAACTAAAAATTAGGTATTTTTTGTCTGCAATCAATATAATTAACAATATTTATTTTGTTTTAGGAAGTAAGAGTACAATTTTTTTAACAGTAAAGAGCAATTCAACATATAAAAAATAAACGATCATGATTAAATTTAAATTAATATTTTTAATTATTTACATAGATAGGAGAACGGACTACTCAACAGTCAATAGTATAGACTGTTTAAGAAAAGGGTATGAAAATTTCCTATGAGAAACAAAGTCTATGAATACATGATAAAAGTTAAAGCAAAGACAGCGCAATGTGGAAATTGGAAAAGGAATCAGATTGGAATCACCGGACCAATGCAAATGCACGGCAAATACTATGAGCATTACCACCATTGAGGGAGGTGAGCAAAAATGTATTCGTATAAGACCGACAAATAGGCTAACTAGGGGAAGGGACGATGTAATGGAGGTAATTAATTAAAAATTAATTATAATTATATAATATGTACCTGGGGTTCACCAATCCAACGGAGAGGGTTGGAAGAGAGGCCAACTTCTTGGTGGTGAACGCTTTCATGCCACCAGTCGCTCAGTAAAAGGTTAAACTCGCCGTCGTAGTGGAACGGCTCTTTCCTGCCATCTTCTACGTCCACAACCAGAGACCCGTACAACCCTGCTGATCTTTGCATTCCGTAGTGCCCGTGGTAAAAGTATGTCCCAGCCTGCACTCATCCACCATCCGTTAACACCAAGAAATCCAGAGAGAGAAAGCCCTACCTTCCATGATCCATTACTTACCTTGTCAACTTTGAACCTATAAGTGAAGGTCTCTCCAGGGTTGATGACACATTGTGAGATGGATGCTGTTCCATCTGCCCAAGGACTTCCAAACTGCATGCATTCAGATCCACAACAAATCATATTAGCACACATAGATAGCAACTAGAAATGAGAGAGAGAGAGAGAGAGAGAGAGAGAGAGAGGCACAAGACCTGTCTGATTCCATGCCAGTGAATAACAACTCCCTCGGTGTGGAGTTTGTTAGTGAGATCAATAACCACTGTGTCTCCAGCTTTGGCTCGGATGGTCGGCCCTGGAAACTGGCCATTGATCCCCATCACAACATTTTCGATGCAATCCGGTGACCAAAACACATACTCCACGTCCCATTTGAAGTGCCTGGCTTTTGAACCCGCCGATGACTCAACCAGCAACATAAATATGCACGCAACCACTAACATTTGGGATGCTGGGGCCTTAATAAGCCTCCTACATGTTGTCTTCGTCCCCATGCTTTAGTTAGCTTTTCACTACTAGCTATACTAGCTAGCAGCAAAAATATTAGAGCTTAAAAGTAAGGAGATCAAGTGATAGAAGAGAGATATTTGATGAGATGAAGAAGAAAAGGCCGTAGAGATCCGGGGCTAGGGCCAGGGGGGATACCACTGTTGGCTACTGCTGCTGCTAAGTATTGGTTTGTATATGTATATATAGATGCGCCAGTGCGTGATATGCACTTTTACATTTAGTTGTCGCTTTTGGACTTAATCAATATATAACATGTGTGATTTGATTGTGCATGTGCATGAATTTGCTGAGGGTGGAATTTAGAGTAATGTAAACACATAATCGATGATAGTTTTTAGATTCGTTTGAAACTGCTTTTAAAATGACAAAAAACTCTTTTTGTAAAAATATTTTTGGATTAATAAAAATACAAGCAAATCCTGAAAAAGCACTTGAAGTGCTTTTGGAACCCATAAATATTTTCTCTAAAAATGCTTTCATTTATTTTAAAAATATTTTCAAACGAGCCATTTATTATTTCTTTAATATAAGTGGATTTCACATATAATAATGTACACCCATATCATATAAGCACTACTAGAAATCATGCTATAAGCCACCCTTTCATTTGGTGGCTATTGTCAAGTGTTGCCACTCACATTGGTGGCAAACCTCTATGGCGACCAAGCACCCACTAAACTAGTAGTGTGGCCTATGTACATGACTCTATTGTAACAATGGCTACCAATATTGCATTGGTGGGTATGTGAATAGTACAACATTTTTATATTTTTATAAGTAATTGTATAATTCAAAATATGTCATTGTCTCTCTTATTAGTGGCTAGATTTGAGACTAACATTGGTGGCTTTCATACTCATACACACCAATCCTATGTGTCTCTATTACAATCAGTGGCTTTTAAAGTATAGGCACCAACAATGGTGTGAATCTATAGCATTCCAAATGGCCTTTATGTTCGAATTGTATTACATGGCTGTTAAATCATAGCTCTGTACTATATTAAAACTCATCTTCTTAATATAAACTTCACATTGATTTTAAATTTGCAAAAGGATTCACATTGACAACCAACCACACTTTATATCCCTTACGGAATCAATAACAAAGGTTGTCCCTTTTAAAGGAAGCATATTACATTCAAGTTTGTTGTCCAACACATCCAACTACCCAAGGGTGATGAGATTACATTTTATAAAACCAACAGTACATATGCACATCCACCAACAGCAACTGAACTAACAAAATCCACCCAATTGGATCTATGCCTTCCCTATGGCATTTGTACTGTATACATCAAGCAAAATTCACAGGAAAGATCACAGTTAGCTTATCACTTACTGAACCCATTGACATTCACCATGCATGGACGATAGACCATTTCATCATCTGTGCCATTATTCTGCAGCACAACAAAGCCGTCATCTTCAGCTTCTCCATTTGCCTGGATCTCCGTACCAGTCCCTTATTCAATTCTAGTCACACAAGCTTAAGTCACATCAACTCGTTTTGGTTCCACAATGCCTCCATCAGCAGCCCTCATCAGCGCAGACATAATTTCAGCCCTCAGTTCATGCTTCATGTTCTCCACTTCCAAGTCCATTCGTCTGTTATGTACCACCATTGAATCTATATGCTCTTTCCTCAATTGTGTAACCATATTTGCCTACTCAATCCTTTGCATTTCCTCTCTCTCACTTGCCTCCATCTTAAGCCTCTCAATTTCAATATTAAAAGCTTCTATTTGCTCCTCATATGTTGCTGTAATTGCTTCAACCTCTCTACAAATCCCTCTTTTCTCAGTTATAATACCCGGCACGTCAGACCACACAACACCTGTCCCAAATCCTCTTACACGGTTATTTCTCTCAGGCCCCAATACATCAGCGTACACAATATGGCAAACCTATTCAGTTATGATCACATTCCTATCTGCATACAGTTTCAACTTTGTATTGAAATCATCCTGCAAGTAGTTGCCAAGATTAATTACATATAAATATGCACTCTATATCGATTTCATAGCCTTCTAAATCAAATATATTCCAACCACGTTTCTCAACAATACTAGTACTATTAGTGATTGTTCTATTGTTCAAAGAAGCACTATACGAATAAACTCATATGCACGAGAATCTCTTTCATTACTTCACTGTATTCACTAATGCAAGTGGCCGCTACCTTATGTTCTTTGTCTCACTGAGTTTGCGTATCAAATATTATAAACCACCTTATTGTTCACATTCCACAAACCTTTTATATATATCGCCTTCTATAGGACACCATGGCATACTTACAATTATTGATGGCATACTTACAAACCTTTTATATATATCACCTACATCAAATATCGAAATAGTATCAGCTGCTAATTAATGGCATACTTACAATTATTGCAGCTAACCGAGCATCCACTGGTTCCCCATTCTTCCGAGTATGTGTTAGCGTAAAGAATGTAATGCAGTCCGGTTTGCTTCCATTCACTTGTTTTTGTTAACATAAAATGTCAAACAACCAATTGACCAGTAATTTCATAACATTGTTTTCATTCAGCACCTTTATTCCATGTGCACTAAACTGTACTTAAGTTACCATAACAAAAAACTCACAGAAAAGCCTTACATGTTCGTGTCTGATTTGCGCAAAAGACTTGGTTCCAGTCATGTGATTTATTTGTAGTGCCTTCTTGTTTTTTCTAGATGACGTAGTGTTGGAAATGTGCCCTAAAACCAATCATATGATGATACTTTACGGACATTTCACATGTTAAACTAATCTAGTTTAATATCAAGGGCAAAGATTATTGTTTGAGCCGTCTCATATAAATGTTATACGCTTAAACAATAAGTCCAAGGAATATGTGATTGGAAGAATGCGATCTAAAGAAGTTAGATTCATGAGACCATTCTTTCGTAGACACATCCTAAACGTTCCTAATCATAGGATTGCCAATTGGGCATTGACAGTCCGTTAAGATCAGTACGTGTTGTGTCTTCTCTCAGGGAGAGTGACTAGTCTCGAGTCATTAATGTGTGTGACATCAAGACAAGTACGTAGGTGCTCAATAGAGAATGAGTTCACCGAACACGATCAACAAAGAGTTCTCATATTCATGTCACATGAGAACTCATGGTTGGGATAATGCAAAGTAGTCTTTTGACCTGAGGCATCATAGTTGTCTTGTGGTTAGGTACTTGATCTTTGATTATGTCAAAGTCACCCCATCCGCGGGTGTCCACGGCATCGTTGGGGTTAAGCCACTTAGCCATGGAGGCAAGTGAATGCGCAACAAGGGATCTCTAACCTTCAAACCATTTGAGGGAGAATACTCTATGATATGATTAAGAATCTCTGGCCAGAGTATGAATGAGATTTAGGAAGTCATTCCAAATCACATTCAAGGTAATCATATAAGCACACGAATCACATTGGATAGTAGACATGAATAAACTATCAAACCAAACAATATGGTCAAGAGTATTGAATTTGAGAAAGACCGTATTGCATTTGTAATCCTAAACTGAATAGGTTCTCCACCTCTTCTGATTAGCTTGGGTAACCATGATATGCTGCTAAGTGTCACTCATGGTTTGTGGAAGCCCTAAACGTGTATAATCACTAAAGGGAGAATTGAAAGTAAGTTTCAATTCACAATCGATTTGAAATGGTTTTAATCGCCCACTGCCTCGCTAAAAGGAACCTAATAGATCGTACACCGTGTAAGGTGGAGATTGAAGAAACAATGGAGATGAGTAAGAATAAATAAATGGTTTAATTATTTATGGCAAGGATTAATTAATATGTTAATTAATCAAACGAATAAGTTCGTTAAAGACCTCGGGATAGTTTTGGACCTTAAGGCCCAATGGGCTTCGAACGTCAAGCCCATTGAATTAAGTTGTATGACAACTTAATGAATAATGATTCACAAAGGCCCAATTAGCCCAATAATACCCTAAGGCCGGCCATTTAGAGATGGAGTGAGTTTTGGACTTATTTACAAGTTTGCCACTCCAATGAATTAAGGTATAAATATGACTTTATAGCCAAAATTCATTTAGGGTTTTTCTTTTGGGGAAAGGATGAGAACATAAGCTCTCCTTTCTCTCTAAAGTGGCCGGCCTCCTTGGAGGGTTTAGCTAGCAATCCTACTACTCCAAGGTCACTCATTTCTTCTCCAATCTAACCTTGGTGAAGAGACTTAGAGGTTCTCAAATTTGGGAACTTGGAGAATCTTTTCAACCATCCAAATCCATGGAGAGAAGAAGCAAGGAATGAAGGCCCTATCTCTTGGGTGATTATCCTTTGCTTATGCAAAGAGGAATCTACAAAGGTATAAATTTCTCAACTCACTTTGATTTGAGTTGAGTCTTGGTTCACCTAACTACTAGGCTTTGAATTTCATGGGTAATGTTTTGTTTTTTAGTGCATACAAGCATGATTCTGCCTTTTAATTGTTAATTGCATGCTATAGATGTTATTCAAATGAACATGTTTTTCACAAAATTTCCTTCAAGTGGTATCAGAGCCTAGGTCTAGTAGTTGGTGAATCCTTTTGGGTTTTGTAGTTCATAGTCTTTGATTTAAAAGTTGTAATATGTTACAAGCTTTATTCTTGTTTCTTTGAATGTAAATTTTGTTAGAAAATTTGTCATCTCAAATGTTGTAGATGTAGTTCATATGAGCATGAATATTGGAGCTAAAATTTGGTGCCATGTTTATGGGAAAATTCGGCCAAATCCAAAGGGTGGATTTTTGGGTTCATGTTTGTCTTGTTAAAAGTGTTTTCAAGTAACTTTTGGAACCCCTATGTACCCTAGTTTGGTTATATGTTATTTCCCTTAAGTTTGAATGGTTTTGGGATGTTTTTGGGTGAAAAATGTTCATGGAAATTTTTGAGTTTTTCATGAGTGTTCTTCATTGTTCTTGACATTTTTGCCAAGAACAAAAAGTTTGGTGTTTTGATTCAAAGTTTTGATTTATTTCATAAAGTTTATGTTTTATGTTTTTCATATGTTTAAATGTATTAGATATTTGTTTAGAAAGGTGATGGAATTATTGGTGGGTGTGTAAGGATTAATTCCCTTTCACACACACCACTTGCACCACTTGCATGCTTTATGTCAAACTTACCAATCAACACACACATCACTCCTTTCAC